GACTTTGGAGTCAAACAGATCTGAATTCAAACCTCAGCTCTACTCCTTAATAATGACTTTAGACGACTCATTTAATCCATCTCAGCCCCTATTTTCTCTTCTATAAAGTAAGGAAAAGGGCAAATGTTCATTAATGGTAGGTAGGCTAATGGCAGGATAAGGAATCAGAGGAACAGGCAGGCCCAGTCCCACCCCACTTTTACCCCAAGAAGGAGTGAGTCCCTACTTGGCAGGTTCACATTTTGTCTAGCTAGGGTGGAGGCATTTTATGCATGAAAGCACCCCAACAGAGGCACACAATTTTGGGGGGACTCAGAGGAAGAACAGATTGTTTGCAACCGGAATGTCCTCCAAGCAGCCCTTTGGAGTAACCTTTTCCATTTATATCCCTTTAGAACAGCTCAGTCCCTATTCCACATTCTCAGGGGAGACCCCGCCCTCCTCTGTTTTTACAAATAGGGTTTACACATGTGTGATCCCCTCTCAGTCTGAATCCCTGTCCTTGCTCAATTCTTGATCACTGGGGTGCTCACTGTCCACGGCTGCCATCCTCTCTCAACTCCACAGGTATCAGAAAAGGGATTTCTCTCTTTGTTCCCAAGCCACTGTGAACATCAGGTTTTGTGTATAGGACACTTTCACTGAATGTCTGGGCTGCCATAAGGAAGCTAAGCATTCACTGAATAGCATGTAAACTTAAAACGGAGTATTAGGCAGCACCATTCTAAAATTTCCCTCCAACAGACCTTCTATTGGAATTTCTCTCTGGTGAAGCTTTCTTCTCCTCAGGTTGCTGTCTGTTACTTACTCGACCTTCTCCTTTTTCTCAGGACTTAGCACAGAAATGCTGCAATTCCCAATTTCCTATTTAGCTCTCTAATGCTGTCCTATCAAGGTCATGCCCAAAGGCTCACCAAGTCGTTTCTGACCACAGAAGAACTACTGGGGCCTCTGAAAGGAATGTGAAATTGCATTTCTCTTTTTAAGTTAGTCTTTTCCTCCATTATCTATAGGTGGGAGATAAGAAAAGACTCCCCAAGAAGTAGCGACTTGGGGAGAGATCTTGAATCACAAAGAAGGTTCCAGCAGGCTAAGAGGTTGGAGGTTGTGTGCCTGGGGAAGCAAGGAAACAAGGCTCTGTGGCAGGATGGAGCCTGGGTGTGAGAGCATTATGAGGGAGAGACTCCAAGAACTGGAAGATGAAAGGTCAAAAGGCTATGTTCTAGCATCAAGAGATGAGTCTTGGTCCAGAGGATCATGTGGACCCATGAAAGGATGTTAAGCAGGGAAGTAAATAAAAGCCAATTCAAGCTTCAGAAAAAGCACTGAGTAAGGAGATACCATTTGTTAACTATCAGAATGGCAAGCTTAAAACAACATTGATAAAGGTGTGGGGAAAGTAGAGTGCTCTAACACACTGCTGGAGGTGTAAATGGAAGAAGCATTTTGGAGAGAAGTTTGGCTATGCTGGGAAAGAGATGGGGAGATGGAGACTCCAAGTGCCTGGACCTACCTATCTTGGACTTTCTGACTAGATAAAAACATTGGTGTTGGAAATCTGGTGAGACAGAGGCAAAGGTACAAATACAGGCTTAGGAGAGCCAATTCTCTTCCAAATCACTGTTAAGTGTTGTGTTAGCTTGAATTTGGCCGTGGCTGGGTACTCACATCACAAAAAGCAGCAAATGCTACAAAACAAGACTTCCCCTCCCCTTGCCCCTGGAGAGAGTAGTTTCATAGCACTCTATTTACTTTCTGAGCCAATCCTCATCCAGCAACCCCTTGAGTTCTTTCAGCAGTGGCTGCGCAGAGATCAGATAGGGGCTTTAATAAGCCAGGGCTTAGACCTTATATGCCGACAGAAAAGCCTAGGCCTGCTAATCTGGGCTGGACCTTAGGAGGCTACTGGACTCCTTGGCCAAAGAGTAGACAGACCTAAGTGGTCTCCCTAGGTCTATTCCAGGTCCTGTTGATATTCTAAAGAAGTAAAGAGCTGGGGGAAAGCACCTCTTTCCAGCGGTGTGGGAGCAGAGAAAAACGGGCAAATGGCAAGGACCAGTAGCTGGACCTCCTTCCATGCAGGAGCAGAAAGCCTTCATCCCAACTCTCTGACAGTCATAGACAAGCTTCTTGTCTTGTGGGCTCTGCACCCTTAACCACTGTTATACCACCTCCCTGTAGAAGTCACAGGCCTTCTAAGACTTGGATACTTGGAGGCAGGAGTGGAGGAAGAATGAGGAGTTGAGGATAACTATCAGGCTTCAGGCTTAAATGCCCAGGTAGGATAAGGCAAGATGCAAATATAGGAAGAGAAGGTCCAAAAGGGCGCGCTGGAGTTAGTAATTGTTCTTTTCAGGACTTGGTGAGTTGCAGTGCTTACGGAACAACAAATAGAGATGGCTAAGAAGTACCTTCAGAATTTTAAGTTCAAGAGAGTGATGAAGACTTTGAAGTTACTGCTATATAGATGAAATTGAAGCTGTGAGAGCACTCGGGCAATATAAAGGGCAAAGCAAGAACTCCTGGGGAACAGTAACATTTAGGAGAGAGAGAACAAAGAAAGAAACTGGGGGTAGGGAAACTGTTACCAGAGTAGGAGAAACTAGGAGGATGTGATATATCATAGAACCCTAAGGAGGGGAAGAATATCAAACATTGCAGATAGGTCAAGTATAATAAGGATTAAGGTAAGAGGCACAATGAGGTTATTGTGTCTGATCCAGAGTGAAGAAGACAGTGGGAGGAGATGAGATTTATGTAGGCAGGGGCCAAGTCAGGCAAGACCTTGTGTGCCATTAAGAAATGTTTGGATTTCATTCTAAGTGCAGTAGGAAATCATTAGAATAATTTAGCAGGGGAGCAAAGAAATATGATTTGTAGTTTAAACATATCACCATATTATGTGGAAGATGGGCCAAGTGGGGTAATAGTGGAGGCAGTTAGGAAGCTATTGCAGTAATCCGGACTTGGACTAGAATCGTAGGGGTGGAGGTCGTAAAAAATATTTATATTTGGGGTATATTTTTAAAAGATATCTAGCCCTTGCTGGTGTGGCTCAGTGGATTGAGTGCTGGCCTGCACACCGAAAGTCGTTGGTTCAATTCCATCACGGCACATGCCTGGGTTGCGGGGCGTCTTCAGCGACAGATGGCTGTTTCTCTCACTCATCCCTCTCTCTGCCTTCCCCTCTCTCTAAAATTAATAAATAAATAAAATATATTAGAAAAAAGATATCTGGGTACTAATGAAAAAAAAAGATATCTTATTGAATACAAGATAAGAGAAAGACAGAAATCAAAGACTATTGAGGTTTTTGGTTTGACCAGCTGAGTAGATATAAGTACCACTTATAGATGTGGATAAGCCTAGAGGAAATAAAACAGGTTTAGGGGTGGGAAACAGAATCAAGAGTTTTATCTTGGCCATCTTAAGAATTAGATGCCCATTGGACATACAAGTGGAGATGCCAAGAAGGCAGTTGGCAATCCAAATCTGGAGCCTGGAGGGAAATCAGCGATATTAACTTTGAAGTCATCAGCATATACATAGCCTCAAAGCCATGGGCCTATATGGACATTAAAGCCCTATTTCCCCTCTCACTTGACCTGACAAAGATCGGGGGCTTTGGTTGGGGGCTGGGAGGGGTATTCAATGTCATCCCCATTGGGCAAAGGAAGCTGATCCTTGAATCTGAGAGCTGGACAGGAATCAGGACAAAGCTGGCTAAGAGACTTCTGACAGAGAAATGGTGCCAGAAAAACTAAGAGCTCACAGGAAGGCTGACGGATCTCCATTTCCCTCTTCTATCTCCCCTCCCCATAATTCTCTGTGTTAGTAACATTAATTCAGGAGGAAGCGAGAAAGGTGATATTGAGGACACTAGGTCTGTAAAGCTAACAATGGGAGCTGCAGCTGAGGCCAGAAGGGCTACATGTGAGTGTTTATGTGACATGCACCCCACTATGCCCTGCAAGAGTCAAAGCTCCTAAGAGGTGGCATAAAAGCCACCCACAGTTAGAGCACTCCCAGGAGGAGGCCTGGGCTTCAGGCAAGGGGCCCTATTCTGCCACTAGTGTGAAGATGAGCATGAGTGGAAGAGCTGAGACGAACCATCCCATGATTTTGAGCCAACCAAATAAAGGTACTGAAGACCAGTGCTTCTCTAACTTTATTTAACATGTATTCTCATCATCTGGGGACTTTGGTAAATGCAGATTCTATTTTGGCCCATCTGGGGTAGGGCCTAAGATTCAGCATTTCTAACAAGCTCCCAGGTAATGCTTTTGCTGCTGGTCTACAGACCACCTTTAAGTAGCAAAGGATGAGGGGCAACTGTGGATCTACCTACAATGGAAGGGGCATGTCCAGTTGCAGGAAGGACCTACAAGAGTGGAAATAGCCACCGTTCTGTTGTGGTTGTGAGGCAGATGGTCAATCGTTGGCAGATTACGCTTTTTAGGAGCATCACATGGTGGTTAAGCACCTGGGTTCCTGAGCTTTACCTCCAAGTAGGTACGTGATCTGGGGCAAATCTTTAACTTCGCTGCATCTCAGTTTCCTCATCTCTCTAATGGGAGTAATAGGCTATTGTGAAGATTAGCTGAGTCAATAGATACAAAGCACTTAAGACATGGCAGCATAATAAGTGCTCAGTAAATGCTACCATTCTTGTTGATAATACACACCCTCTTCTACAAGAGCAAATGGAGACACACATGGACGTTTAGTCTCCTGTTGGTACACAGTCAGAAGTATAACCCCCATCTCTCTCCCACCAAAGGCCTGGCTCCTCTCTTTCAATTCCTCCTACCATCCTGTCCCACTCCCCCTCCCCAGGCCCCTGGCCCCAATGTGGTCTGGATGGGCCCCACAGGGGCAGGGACAGGGACAGGACGTGGGGCTGTATCTGACAGGAACCTGAGGGGCTGGCCCGGGAGGGGATTGGGGCCCGGCTTCCTGGAGGGAGGATGGGCTAAGGCAGGCACACAGTGCCGGAGAAGATGCCCTCCTGGACCCTCTTGGTGGTCACCTCCTGCCTCCTCCTGGCCCCCCAAAACCTGGCACAAGTCACCAGCCAAGGTGAGGTGTGTGGAGGGTGGAGATCACCTATAGCCAGGAATAGGGAGGCCTGGGAGGGGCGCAAGTTAGGAGGTTCCCACTGGTCCCCCACTCTTTCCCATAAACACGCCTGGAAGGACCCAGAGCCCCACTCACCAGCTGTTTCTCAGATGCCTCCGTGCTGGCCTCGGACTCAAAGCCCCTGAACTGTTTTTCTCAAACATTTGAGGACCTCACTTGCTTCTGGGATGAGGAAGAGGCAGCGCCCAGTGGAACATACCAGCTGCTGTATGCCTACCCAGGGTAGGTGCTGGCTGTGCCCTGCTCCCCATGTCTGTCCTGTCCTTACTTCAGCTGAGCCTTGTTCCAGTAGCTTCCATGCCTTTGACTCTATATGAGAATTACTTCAAGTACATGCCCTAAGTAGCCACTTACTGAACTGATGTGCTTTGGTTAGATCCAGCTCGAGCCCCTCCATAACCCCTCATCCCACCTATCCCAGGCACTGGGGAGAAAAAGGCAGTAATGGAAATAGAAGTAGGGCTTGGGCCCAGCCTGGGCCCTGAGGGTGGCCAGGAAGGTAGGATGGACTTTTCCTATGTCCACAGGGAGGAGCCCCGTGCCTGCCCCCTGAGTTCCCAGAGTGTGCTCCCCTTTGGAACTCGGTATGTGTGCCAGTTTCCAGCCCAAGATGAAGTTCGTCTCTTCTTCCCACTGCATCTCTGGGTGAAGAATGTGTTCCTGAAACAGAACGTGACCCAGCGGGTGCTCTTTGTGGATAGCGTGGGTAAGGCCAGTCCTCCTGTCGCCCTGGCCCCTCTGTCTGCTGCCCCAGGCCGGGTCACAGAGTCGGGCTGGTTGGTGCTCCTTCAGGACAATGTGTGTGCCCTCCATCACTATGTGTGACACCTCAAGTTGCCCTTATCATGCTTCCCAGCCCTGGCATCTAGAGCTAGACTTCGTTTCACACCAGGGACACCCTGGTCCTCCCATCAATAACCTATTCATTTTCATACCTGTTCAACAGTTACAGGATACCTACTATGGGTCCAGGCACTGTGCTAGGTGACAAGGATACAGAGATCCATGTTCTTGATGAAAATACATGCTTGTTCTTGAGTCCAGCTAACCAGGAATGAGGTCACTGTTCTCATGAGGAAAGGAAAATGGGATGAGGAGCCTCTCTGTCCTTCCCTGCCCTGCGAGAGAGCCAATCCGACCTCAGGCAGCCCTCTCTGCAATCCATGATGTGCCCTGTCTTGCCCTCAGGCCTACCAGCTCCCCCCAATATCATCAAGACCACGAGCGGAAGACAACCAGGGGAACTTCAGATCAGCTGGAAGGCCCCAGCTCCCGAAATCAGTGATTTCCTGAGGCACGAACTCCGCTATGGTCCCAAGGATGCCAGGAACTCCACTGATCCCACAGTCTTGCAGTTACTGTCCACAGAAACCTGCTGCCCATCTCTGCGGAGGCCAATCCCCGCCCCAGCTCTGGACCATCCTGCATGTGCACAGCCCATGATGTCCCAACAGTATGGACCAGCGCAGACCTCCCCAACTAGAGAAGTATCCTGGCTTCTTCCATTCTGCTTTCTATCTCCTACCCCTAATTTTGCCCCAAGAAAGGACAGGCTATATTTTGGGGATTTATTACTGGTTTGGTCCTTGGGGAGTTAGTACAGACTCTGACTGGACCTCAAGAACTGTGTCTATTTAGGGATCTCCCACTTTGGGTCATTCACACCAACAAAACTGAGAGCTTTGGGCCTCCAAATTAATGGGGATTTCCCTAAAAACCCCTGAATGTCACCTGAAACTCAGTGACCTGGTCCCCAACCTGTGTGCATATCTGTCCAGTGAGGAACTGAGCATCTCTCCACAGGCATGCTGTGGGGCTTCAAACATAAGAGATGGAGGCTGTCTTGGCTGAGAGGCAGACCTAGATTGAGGCTGGGATTCTTCTCTCAAGGCCCCATCTCTGACAGTGGTGAGTGGAAGCTGCCTCATCTCAGGGCTCCAGCCTGGGAAGTCCTACTGGGTCCAGCTGCGCAGCCAACCTGATGGGGTCTCCCTCCATGGCTCCTGGGGACCCTGGTCTCCCCCTTCAACCGTGGACCTGCCTAGAGATGCAGGTGAGTCAATAAAGAAATGGGGAGATGAAGAGGCAATTAAAAAAATATCTAGGGAGGCCTGGGCTGGACATGGAGGCTATGATAACCAGGGTCCTTCCCGATGACTTCAAACTTGCCACTGGACAGAGGTGAACTATGTTCAGGGAGAAAACAAAGAACAGGAGTAAATGTTCCAAGTTATGCATGTAAAGATGATAAGGATACGATGTGGACTAGCAGCACGTGGGCCCTGATGGGACTTCCTTCTCTGATTCAGTGGAAATTGGACTGCAGTGCTTTACCCTGGACTTGAAGAATGTCACCTGTCAGTGGCAGCAACAGGACCATGCTAGCTCCCAAGGCTTCTTCTATCACAGCAGGCCGTGGTGCTGCCCCAGAGACAGGTGAGAGGTGAACTGCTGACTGAGCTTGATGTCATGGGAGAGAGGCCCAGTCTTGCAGAAAGAAGGGATTGTTCTTGGTCCTCTTCACTCCCCTCCCTGTCCCAGAACCAAGGGGCCTCCACGCTCTCTCCCTCCAATGGGTGTTTTGGCTTCTCAGCCTCTCTCCACTCCCATCGGCAATGCCTTGGTTTAGTTCAGCTTTAACCATGTCACCTGGACCACTGCCACAGCCTGTGTTCTCCTTCACCTCCAATTTGTCCCCCATGCTGCTGACAGCGTGATCTCTGTTCAACTCAGACTTTGCCAGCTTTCCACTATCTATCAAATCCAATCAAAATGGTGCCTCGTCTTCAAGAATTTCCACCTAATACCTCACTGGTTTGTCACCCCCACCATATCCAGTTTATAACCAAGCCTTGTTGATCTTACCTGTTAAATATTTCTAGAGTCTGTCCATTGTTTCTTCACCACTGCCATTATTCTAGTGCATCATCATGTCTCACTTGGGTGACTGAGAATACTTATTAACTGATCACCTCTTGAATCCTTTAAATTATTCTCCACATAGGAGCTGGCATGACCTTTTAAAAGTGAAAAAATGAACATAACACTCCCTGCTTATAAATCTTCAATAGCTTCTCATTGATCTTAGGATAAAGGACCCTGCCATGACCCTATAAAGTTCTAGAAGACTCAGTCCTTACCTTGGCCTTCAGCCTCATGTGATGCCGTGTTGCCTTTCACTCTCTATGCTTCAGTACTGGTCTTCTTTGGTTCTCTCTTATGTGCCATATTCCCTCTTGCCTCTGGGTCTTTGCACATGCCATTTACCCAGCTCTCCTGTCTTTGCTTAGCTTCTACTTATCCTTCTGATCTACACTAAAAAATGTCACCTCTTCAGGGAACCCGCCTCTGGTCCTCCAATGGCGCTACTATACATCCTTGTTGTACCATGTACAACAAGTATTTAATCATAGTTACACTTTTACATTTATAATTTGTGGTTATTTGATTGATGATAAAATTTCCTCTCAGAATTCCAGTTGGAAAAGGATGATCTTTACTATGCATGAGCCATTAGGGCAAAGTCAGTGTCTGATTTTTACTCACCAATGTATTTTCACCTATTACAGTGCCTGGAATATAGTAGGTGCTCAGTAAAAAAGTATTGAATGAATGGATGAATAATGAAACAAAACATTAGTCACAGTTTTAATCTATTCTTCCAGCTTTTGTATGCATCTATATATACAAACACATAATAGTTTTCAGTATAAATTGCATATATGTATGTGTGTGTGGTTTGCTAACCTATTTTTTTACTTAAAAATATGTCTTGAAGATCACTACAAAAAATGTCACTCATTCTTTTTAATAACTGCATAGATTTCCAAAGTACAGGGGTGCCTTGAATGATTAAAGTGTGGCAAAACTAGAATTATCATTTCCTCTATCAAGACCTGCTCCTCCTGTTACTGTCCTACCTCCTACTATCAGCACAACTTTTCAGGCCTGAAACATGGAAATCACCTTGGACTTCTGCCATTTCTACACCCTCAAGGTCCAATCAGAAAGCCTTGTCATTTCTACCTCTTCAGTATCCCTTGAATCCATCTATTTCCCTCTGCCCCCATTGCCATAACCCTACTTTCAGATCCTCATCGCTTTGCACATGGAAAACCATAGCAGTGCCCTAATGGATTTCTCTCCTTCTAGTCCACCCTCACAAATCCTTTCCTAAAAACTGCAGTTAGAGTGATCTTCCTAAAGTACAAAGTCAGCCTGTGTTTAAAATTCTAAATGTCTCCATAATTACTATGAGATTGAGTTCAAGCTACTTAGAAAGGCCACAGGGCCATCCATGACCTTAATCTGCCCTCTCACATTTATCACTCACCACCAAGCCCTCTGTGCTAAAAGCACTCTGCACCACTTAGAATTTCTTCCAAAGCACTGTATTTCTTATCTGTGCCCAAGCATGTGCCTCGGATGCCCGTTTGTCCCCTTTGCATCCTATTTATAGTCCAAGACTTAGTTTAAGTACTGCCTCGTCCAGGAAGTGTTCTCTGATCCTCCCATTCTGGGTAAGATCATCCTCCTTGATACTCCCAAACCAGCCTATGCACCACAGAAAAATACCATCTGTTTGTTTTTCTGCCTCTCCCACTGAAATGAGAACTCCTTAAAGGTTATTCTTCTATGTATTCATAGGGCCTAGCACAGTGCCAGGTGCGTAGTGTTAATTATTTGATGAATAAATGAGTAAGCATATTAAATACATAAAATGATAAGTAACTTTAGTAATAACTATCCCTTTATGAGTTATAATCAAAAAGGAGACACAATTCATTTGTTTAATAAACAACTATTGAAGGTGGCTGTGCCAAGCACAGGGGATAAAGGTGACAAATAAAACCAAAGAGGTTCCAGCATTGTCTGGGCTTACATTTTTGTGGGGAAAGGAGAGGGGTGACAAAAAATACATAAACAAGATTATATGATAGAGACTAAGTGGAAGGATGGGGGGTGGTTTGCTAATTTAGACTGAATACTCAGAGAAGGACTCACCAAGAAAGTGACAGATGAGCTAAAACTTCAGTAGCAAGAAGGACTAAGTCACATGAAACTCTAGAGTCAGCAATCCAGGGCAAAGTGAAGTGCAAAGACAGTATGTTTGGCGTACATGGAGTTTGAATTTTATTCCAAGTGGGATGGGTAGCCATTAATAGATTTTAATCAGAAGAGTGACATGATATGATTTACATTTTATAAAGATATGTTTCTTCCTGAAGGTATAAAGAGGGAAGACTAGAAGCAGATTCACCAGTTAGAAATTTTCATTAATCCAGGCAAGAGATAATAGTGGTTTCATCTAATGTAGCAGTGGTCAAAATCAAAATAAATGGACAGATTTGTGATATATTCTGGACATTATCAAGTCAACATTTTGGAAGCAAACTCAGGTAGCTGTGTAAAGAACTAATTGTAGGGAGTGGCAAAAATAGAGGCATAAAAGCCAGTTAGGAGATTATAATATTGTAATAGTAAAATAACATATAGAGATGACTAAGAATGCTGCTGCATAAGAACAGATTTAAAACATAAGGATGTTTTCCTGCAGAAAGATAAAGGCTCTTTAAGCTTTGAAACAATCCTGTGAAGTAGGTGTTATTAACCCATTTTACAATTGTGGAAACTGGGACAGAGATAAACCAAGTAATTTGCCCAGAGTTATACACCAACAAGCCAAGACCTGAACTCTATAGCCCATGCTATCTTCATGTATCATCTAGATTCTTCCTTAAGAGGAAGAAGGTGGACACCAAAGCAAACTTTAAAAAGCAAAACATTATGGCATGAAGACAGAAAGCCCTGGAGGCCCATCCAAGAGAGGAGTTAGATTATAATCCATGCAGGGCATAGCTGCTGTGGGATGGGGAATATCAGAGGCAGGCCTGATTCAATGATTCTATGGGGCTGATTCTTAGGGACCCCATCTGGGAGAAGTGTGAAGAGGAAGAGAAAAATCCAGGATTACAATCCTCCCAGTTCTCCCGCTGCCACTTCAAGTCACAAAATGACAGTGTTATTCACATCCTTGTGGAGGTGACCACAGCCCAGGGTGCTTTTCACAGCTACCTAGGCTCTCCTTTCTGGATCCATCAGGCTGGTAAGAACTTTCTTCCCTTCTCCTTTCAGACAGTCCCTCCCCTTGCCCCTCCTTCCCTGCATCTAACCCTATGTCCAGAATCACCACCTCTGACACTTCTGTCCCGTGGGCCTGGTGGCATGGTGTCTCATGTACAGAGGGCTTAGGCCACTCCCTGATGACATCCCTGTAGTGCTCATCCCCACTCCAGACTTGCACTGGAGGGAGGTCTCCAGTGGGCAGCTGGAATTGGAATGGCAGCACCCATCATCCTGGGCAGCCCAAGAGACCTGCTATCAGCTCCGATACACAGGAGAAGGCCATCAGGACTGGAAGGTAAGGTCAAGGAACAAATGTGCACAGACCTCACCACACTGGGTATTCCTGAGTTTCACCGTGTCTGTTGTCAGGGGTGAGGGTGTCCATGTAGCCATGTCTAGACTTGTATATCTGTGTTTATCTGATTCAACTGTTATCTTACTCTCTCTTTGGCATCTGATATTGCTGACTACTCTCATTTAAAATTTTCTCTTTTCTTTGCCACTCAGGTATCAGTCTCTCCTGGTTCTTGTACTCTCTCTCTGACCAAATCTTTCATTCTCCTTTCCTGGCTCTTCCTTTTCCACTCTTCCTTAATATGTTGTGCTTCCTGCAGACCCATCCTAGATTCTTTTCTCCTCTAGATAAATATATACACTTTCCCTAGGTGAATGCTTCAACTCCATGGTTTTAACAACCATACATTAACCATCCCAGACTTACCATATGGAAAGGAACTTCTATACCATAGGTAAATTACCTAAACTTTTGAAGTCCCAGTTTCCTCATTGGTGAAATGAGAATAAAGCTACCTACCTTCCAGAGTTACAGTAAAGATTAATTATATCAATATCTACCACACTGCCTGACAGATAGAAGGTACTTATATACATGAGTTAAATCTTAGTTTCTTTCTCTATTTTTATTCTCATTTACTACATACACAGTATATACAACTTCTTACCAATTAGATCTAACTAAAACCTCCAGGAGCATTTCAGACTCATACAGTAGTCCCCCTTTAACTGTGGGGGATACATTCCAAGACCCCTAGTGAATGGCTGAAACCATGGATAGTACTGAAGTCTATATGTACTATGTTTTTTCTTATACATACATACATACATACATACATACATACTCTTTATGGCTTCCCTGTGGCATATCCAAATTACCAGCATCACTACTCTTGCATTTTGGGGGCTTTATTAAGTTAAACAAGAGTTACTTGAGCACCATTACAATACCTTAACAGTTGGTCTGTTAACTGAGACAGCTACATAGGGATTATCAGGAAGGACAAAGGGATAATTCATGTCCTGGGTGGGATGGAGTGGGACAGCAGGAGCTCTCATCATGCTACTCAGACAGCAGGCAATTTAAAACTTACAAGTTATTTCTTTCCATAATTTTTCATTTAATATTTTTGGAACGCAGTTGACGGTAGGTAACTGAAACTGCAGAGAAATTGCAGATATGGTGGGACAATAAATCCAAAACTTAACTCATCTACAGTAAAGTACACAAACCTTAAGTATGCAGTGGATTAATTTGTACATGTGTATATACCCATGTAACCATTATCCAGATCATGATATGTTATTGCTAGCACCCCAGAAACTCCTCATGCCCCTATAGTTGCACACATTCCTTCCAAGGCAACCACTATCCCGACACTACCATTTATAAGTTTGACTGTTGTTGAACTTAATAAAATAGACCCATGCAGTATTTCTTCCTCAAACTTACTTCTCTTCTGTATCTTGTCTCTGTCAATGGCACCACCGCTTACCCAAGCATGGAATCCTCTTCTTCTTGCTTTTTGCAAGAAGCTTCTTGCTTTTGCCTTGTCTCTTCCCCCTATTTATCAACATATAGGTTGAGTTCATTGTACTAACGGTCCTCAAATCCCTCCTACCACTGCCTTAGCTTCATCTTTGACTATCCAGCCTGCCTATCCATGCTCTTGGCTCACTGAGCTACTCTGCAGTCCCCAACCAAACAACTCAGGCAGCACTAAATGCTCCTTTGTGCTCCTGGTGCTTTACTTATATCATTATTATAATACTAATTATTTGTGTTGAATGATTATTTACTTGTTTGTATGTCTTCCTTATTAGACATGTGAGAGACCATGTTTCATTTACCTTTTATCCCAGCGCCTAGCCCAATGCTTGGCATATTACAAGCAGTTCACAAATGCTTGCTAAATGATTAAGTTAATAAAGTTCCCCTGCTTGTAAACACGATGCTTGCACCTTCTGCTTAGAATCTGTCCTTGTACCTCTAGCGCTTAGTATAATTCTGGCATCTTCTGCTGAATGCATATTATTTGCAAAGGGTACTGAGTATATATGAGACTGTCTGGGATTTCCATTGCTTCTAGCAGAATGTCCTTGTGTCCCGGTCAGTGTATGTGCACCAGGATCTCTGTCAGGGTGTATCGTATGTGTTTGTGTCTGGATGAGTAATTCTCTGTTCGAATGAGGCCTGTGTGTCAGGGCGCGTTTCCCAGGCTAGGCAGGCCTCAGGCAGGGCAACACCGCGGGCAGAGGGAGGAGTTCTGTCTCTGTCTGGCATTCCATCTTCCAAATTTCCTCTCGGATATGTGATTTCTGTCAGTGAGGTTCTTTGAGGGGAATGCCCTGGGATTCAAAGTGGTAGGATTTTGGTCACAGATGCTGATCTCTCAAGGACCCGATGCCCTCTGATTTGCACCTAGAGCCTGACCACCTGCTCGCTTCTCCTCTGCGCAGGTGCTGGAGCCACCTCTCGGGGCCCACGGAGTGATCTTGGAGCTGCGCCCGCGCTCCCGCTACCGTTTACAGCTGCGCGCCAGGCTCCACGGCCCTACCTACCAAGGTCCCTGGAGCGCCTGGTCTGACCCAGCGCGGGTAGAGACCGCCTCCGAGACAGGTGAGGGCGCGGCCAGGGCAAAGGCGGTCTGCGGCTGCGCCACTGAAGGCGAGCCGGCGCAGCGGGGGTGGGGCTCCGACCGCACTGGTCTGCGGCTGCGCAGACGTACGCGGCGCCGGAGCCCCGAAGAGCCCGGGGGCGGGGTTGGCCGGGCCTGGGGGCGGGGCTCCGGCCAGGGGTAGCCGAGGTCTGTTTTCATCCCCTAGCCTGGATCTCCTTGGTGACCGCTCTGCTCCTGGTACTAGGCCTCAGCGCTCTCCTGGGCCTCCTGCTGCTGAGGTGGCAGTTTCCTGCGCACTACAGGTACCGGCCCGGTCAAGCAGGAGACGGGGCCACGGCCAGGGAGGGGCCAGCGGCCTCTAAATAAGCATTCCAAGCGCTCCCTCTGACACCCGCTTTCCGGACAACTTCGAGTCCACACCTGTGGTTTCGGCCGCTTCCTGCACGTCTTTCCTGAGGGTGGCACCGCTTCCTCACACTCCAACATACCCACTGTACTGAACACCTCAAACTGCCCCATCTCCTGGCTTCTCATCTCAGTAACAAAGCTACTGTCCACTTGTCACCCGAGCCAAAACACTTAGGCGCCTCCCTCCTTATCCAGTCTGATCTGGTCTGGTCATTCCATCCCTAAACCTCGCTCAAACAATGGCCCCTTTTTTTCTGGCCCTACCGACACTACCTGACTCACTGAAACAGAGCCTCTTCTCTCTCTGATGGGCCTCACGCAACCACCAGAAAAATCTTTCTAAAATGCACACATGGATTTATCACCCACCTCCTTAAAACTCCTCATTAGCTCATTAGGACAGAGTTCAGACTCTAGAATGATGAGTAAACCTCCGCAAAATTCGGCCCCTGCCAGCGTTTCCACCCGCTTCCACCCTGTGCATCAGCCTTGCCAAACTGCCGGTAATTTCCTCCCCAAGTCAAATGGTTTTCCTTCTCAGTGCCTTTGCACATAATGTCCCCTCTGTCAGGAATATCCTCCCTGGATGACTAATGCCCATTTACCTTTAAGCAACTTTGTTCACCAACTCCTGGGAAACCTTTCCTAACCCTCCCCTATTGGCTACTCTTTTTCTATCCCTGTATCCCTCTCTGCACAGACTTCTGTCATAGTACCAGTAGCATTTTACTGCATTTATTTCTCTACATGTCTTCCCTATACCCCACTTGGTCATCTTTAAATCCTCAGCCCAGTGTCTGCCAAAGAGCATGCCCTTAAATAAATGTTATTAATGAATGACTTATTTATGTGGGAAACCTAAGGTTGAGGAGAAATGTCATTGGAAACTATAAACAGAAAAGATAGAATCTGTACCACCTCAGCCTTTTAATTGGTAACATCTCTTGATTCCTGAAGACTCAGCTCAGAAGGCAGCTCCTCCAGGCAGCCTCTTTTGATGGCCCTACACTATCATCTCTCTTTGAACATGTCTGTCTTTGACCTTTTAATATGACTTTTGTATATGAGCAGACTGGAATGCAGCCTCTATGCAGGTAGCCAGATCCAACCAAAAAGTTAGGGGAGAAGAAGAAATTGGTGCTGCAGAGTATGCAGACATACTCAATTCCTTTCCCCCCAATTTGCCAGATAACTCACTCTTCCTTCCCTGGAGGGACATGAATGAGATCACAGAAGAGGCCCAAAATGTTGTTCAGCTAAAGTCCCTCCATGTGGAAATACGAACCTAAAGAATTGGAAGTTCCCCCAACATACCTTGGCTTAATCCATACTCGTCCTGGATAGATCACCTTCCCAAGTAACTTAACAGTAATAAGCCCCACTGCCTCTCTTCATTCATTCATTGAGCTAATTTTTTGAGCACTTTATGGGCTACACATTGTTCTACACCCTGGAGATACAGGAGTGAGCAAATAGAGAAATTTTTGCTCTCATGGAGCTACATTCTATGGGGTGAGACAGACAAAAGCAAATACATATAATAATAATAATAATAATAAATATACAATAAGTCAAGTGTTATAAAGAAAAATAAATCAAAGCAGGAGATAGAGTGATAGGGAAGGGAGGTGATACTATTTTAGACAGGGTAGTCAGGGGAGGCCTCCCTGTCAGGATGGCATTTTAGCAGAGACCTAAATGAAGTGAGCGAGTAAGTTGAGTGTTCCAGACAGAAGACGAAGTGCAAAGGCCCTGAAGCAGAATGTTTGAGGACACTCTGTACTCCTTTTCTGAACCTTTCCACCACCAACTCTTCTCCCCGACCTGAGGTTCAGTTTGCACCTATGCTCTTACTTTATTACCTTGGCTACCCTCTTACCACTCAGCCACCTCACTGCCTTCCCGACTGCCTCACCTCACTGTTCTCCTCCCTCCCATCTCACTCCCATGACTCAATCTCCTCTTCCTTCTCCCCAAGGAGCCTGAGGCATGCCCTGTGGCCTTCGCTCCCAGACCTACACCGGGTCCTAGGCCAGTACCTTAGGGATGCTGCAGCCCTGAGTCCGGTGAGTGCACTCCCCTCCCTACTACCCATCACTAGTCCTACCTGGAGCTGGATCCCTGCCTGCACAACACAACTTATCCAAGGCCACTACCCACCAGCATTTCATCCCCCTGGGTCCTACCCCCAGCCAAACCTTCCTTCCTATACAATCTGGGTCTTCCTCCCACAGGATCTGCTAATCCAGACCCCTTTCCCTCCCATCTCTCCCAGCCCAAGGCTGCAGTCTCAGATGTCTGTGAGGAAGTGGAACCCAGCCTCCTTGAAATTCTACCTAAGTCTTCAGAGAAGACTCCCTTGCCCCTATGTTCCTCCCAGGTCCAGGTGGACTACCGAGGATTGCAGTCCTCTTGCCTGGGGACCATGGCCCTGTCTGTGTGCCCACCTATGGCTGAGTCAGGGTCCTACTGCACCACTCACATTGCCAACCATTCCTACTTACCATTGACCTGTTGGCAGGCCCCTCACTCCCAGTACCCTGGACAGATCCAAACCCTCTAGACCTTTCTTTCCACCCTCTCAACCCACCCCACGCACCCCTACACCATACACATTTCAGACGCCACTTCCATCCCCCTTGTTGAGCCTTGTAGCTGGGCTTCACAACACTGATCTTGCAGTACTGCTGCTGGCATAAATCCACGATCCTCTTTCCTCAGGCAAGGCTCATTTATTTTACTCAGTTCCAATTTCCACCTTCTTTCTCTCTCTTCTTTAATGCCACACTCCTTAAAAAGAAGTCTTTGCTTCCCCATTTCTCATTTGCTCTTTGGACTACTTTAATTAGTTCTACTACCACTTTGCTAATGAAACTGCTGAGGCAAAGTTCACCACAAATTCTCTAATTGCAAGATCCAATAGATTCTTGTTAACCCTTCATTTATTTGATCTCTCTGTGGCATTTGTCATGGTGACTACTTGTTTCTCCTTTAAATTCTCTCCTTCCTTGGTTTCCATTCATCACGTTCTCTCCTGACTTTGCTTCTCCAGTAGTTAAGAGCATAAACTCTGTAATCAGCACTAAGTTCAATTTCTGACAACCCACTTACTAGCTGTGGGCAAATAGTCTTTAAGCCTTAGTTTCTCATCTATAAAACAGGAGTAACGGAACCCTACAGAAAGTTGTGAAGAGGATTAAGTGAGATGATCTAAGTAAAGCACAGTGGCTAGGACACAGTGTTTAATATATCTGAATGGTCATAACTTACTCTTTCCTTTTCTCTTTTCCTGGTGTCTCTTCCACTCCTTAATTATTTCCACTCCTTAATTATTGCAGTCCCTCAAGAGTCCATTCTTAACAGTCTCCAATCCCACCCATTCTCATTGTCTTCACTCTATGCTGACCATTCCAAAGCTCTTGTCTCCAGCCCAGGCTTCTACTACAGCACCTGGGAGGCCTTATGTAAGTAACTGTTTACATGTCTGTCTCCTGCTACTAGATTGTGAGCTCATTGAGGGCAAGGGCTTTGATTTATTTGTTCCCCGACCCATGGCACCTAAAGTAGTGATGTGTGCATGGTAGTAAGCCTTCAATAAATGTTTTCTAAATTAATGAAATCTATCTGAACACCACAACCTTAACCCCAGGCCTGTTTCTCTCATCCTCTAAGCCATATACAACAGTGCTTAGGCTATTCTGGCTATGGATTCCCTGAACCCTTTTAAATTCTCAAAGATGTTTTTGTTTTTTGCCTTTTTGTTTTTTCTGGCTCCAAACATACCCACTGTATCAGTTAAGATTTGGCAGAAATAGATGGTACACCCAAACTGGAGATATTGATGAGAGTTTAATAAAAGGAATATTTATAAAGATGAGGCAGGATTTAGGAAAATCATCAAGGAATAGTGCAATACCCCAGGGCTAACAACAGCTGGGAACTGGTTCCACTCTTAGGCATCAAAGGGTAAGGGGGGAGAGTGCTTACTAGATCTGGGGAGAGTGGCTGTGAGAGAGGACTACCTGGCAGGAGCTGTGGCCTTACGCAGAGAGATACAGTGAACCTGTGGGGACAGCAGCGAGGGAGCCAGGGGAATAAATAGCTCAAGTTCACTCTTCTCTGATCCCCTGATCTCTGTATTGGTTTGCTATGGCTGCTATAACAAAGTACCGGAAACTGGGCGGCTTAAACACCGCAAATGGATTGTTCCACAGTTCTGGAGGCTAGGAGTTCAAGGTGTCAGCAGAGTTGGTTCCTTCTGGGTACTGTGAGAATCTGTTCCATGCCTCTCCTTTAGCACCTGGTGGTTTCCTGGTAATTTTTGGTGGACCGTCGCTTGGTAGAAACATCACCCTTATCTCTGCCTTCATCTTCCCATGGCATTCTCCCTGTGTGTGTCTATGTCTAAATTTCCCCATTTTATAAGGAAACCGGACATACTGGATTAGGGCCCACCCAAATGATCTCATCTTAACTAATACATCTGCAATGACCCTATTTCCAAATAAGATCACACTCTGAAGTCCTGGGACTTAGGAATTCAACTTATGAATTTGGAGGGTGGGACACAATTCAGTCCATTATATCCTTCCATTGGTGGAACTCAAACAGAAACCAGAGCCCAAGGAAATCTATTGACGTAGGCCATGTGAATCAGCCTCACAGAGCACAGGGCAGGGTGGAGGAGGGTGAAGAGCGGGTTTGGATGGGACGCATGGATGACAGCCAGTATACTTACTTTCCATCATTCCTTCCCCCAGCCATGTTCCAGGCTCTGACTTCACTCCTAGGGACTCAAGACGAGGACTGAGACTCAAACTACTGAACCTCTCACCTTTACACCCACTCAGCCATCATGTCCTGATCACTTTTACTTCCTAAATTCCATCTCCTCTATTTCCACTGAACTACAGCCTTCTAACTAACATCTCTGCCTCTAGTCCCTCTTTATATCATTCCAGCCTCAACCTGTATGTGGCCTCCAGATTGATCTTCCTGTTAATCTCCCTCCTTACCTCTAAATCTTTAGTCTGACTCTTCAGAACCTGATTTCTTTCTTACACTCTTTGCAGGTGTGAGGATTAAAAGGGTTAACACAATGGCAAGCATAGAGAGACAACTCAGTGTTTATTGAGGTATTTTTTATTATTATCCCAACTGAGTTTTTCCACCCCCTGAATATCACCTATATTTTATCCTTCCATGCCCTTTGCTTCCCTAGATTCAAGTCCTTCAGGTGGGAGTTCCCCCAACTAAGCAGCTTCTCAGCTTCTAATTATCCATCTCAAAAGTCTTGTTCTCCTTCCCTCCCGTCTAAGAGGAAGTGATCTTTCTTTCCCAGACTGGTTAAGCTCCCTGTGTTTTCTATCCCATTTCTTCCTGGGGAAGGTACCCAGTTCCCTTGTTGTCAGCCGGTCCTTGCCTGGCCTCTTTCACCTCCCCTCTTTTGCCTTCACCTTCAAATAGACATAGGCCTCCTAATGCTAGTAGTCCCTCAAATTCCTATGCACTGCCCCTTGGTCACTTTCAGATTTCTCACACAAGTAGCCTGTGCTTGCTGCCTCCATATTATCCCCACCCTTCTTTCTACAAACCTTCCAAATGGAACCCAAGCACCCACTCTCCTGATTCCACTCTCTCCAAGGTCACTGATGATTAATTTCTCAATGGCCAAATCTGACTTCTTCTGACATCATTTTGCTTAACTATTTTGTATCATATCAGAATTCCTCCCCCTTCAAGGTTCATGTCAGTATAATCTGGCTTCTTTCATCCCATTATTTTAAAATATATGACTTCCCTGCAGTTGTACCCTTAATCACCTTATCCTTCTTTTTCTCTACACTTAATCCTGACTCCAGAAGCTGAAAACTGCTAGCCATGTCTTGCCTTCAGAAGTGTTTTGTTCGGCCCTTCCATACACAGAAACTCTCACTAATTCCACAATGACCAGCAGATAAAGTCCAAACTGCTAAGCTTGACATTTAAGGCCACGACCAGCCTGACTCTAGACTATATTTTCTATGTAAATGGGACTCCCCATTTACAAACCCAGGACATCTAACTCCTTGTTTTCCAAGATAATTGAAAATAGAGAACATAAACACTTCAAAATCAAAGATAATAACAATATTAAATTTGAGCAAAGAGCACAGATTTTTCTCTGTCATCAGAGTTCATTCCATTACTTATTATTATTGGCTGCATGCCTTTGGGCAAGTTTCTAACCTTTTTCTGACCCAGTTTCTTTTTCTATAAAAGGGGATGATAGAATATCTGCCTTATGGGGGTAAGGATTAAACTCAGTAATGTATGTAAAATGTTTAAACACAGTCGTTAGCAGATGGCCAATAAATGGTACCCATTATTACTTTTTATTGCTGCTTCTCCTCTAAGCATATTCACACAATTCATTCAAGCCATTATTGGAGCATTGGATTGAATGGGTTTCAGACCGGGATTCCCATCAATTTGTGTGACCTCGGGCAAATCCCTTCCCTGGGCCTCCAATTCTTTACCTGTAAAATATGGGTATGTTGCCAGAATGAGGAGGGTGCGCCACCACAGTTTAGACTAGTGGATCTCTAAAATTCCTGACACCTCTATAGACCCATGAGGGTAAGCCAGTGTCCCCCTCGAGGCAGTCCAGCCTTATCTTCCAGATAGTTAAGTCTGAATCCCGATCTTTTTTTCTTAACTATAAGGAATTCACCCTATTTCAGCCTCATTTCCCCTGCTTGTAAAACAACAACAAAACAATTTTTAGAAACAAACACATACTACTTCTTTCTAGCGGTGTTCCTAGAGGAACCAAACAAACAGCAGATGCACCCTAACTAGTTCTGGCCTTCCTGAGCTTCTTAACCCTTTCCCCTGTCCCACGCTTGTCCGGCGGCCGGCTGGTCGCCCGCCCGCCCGCTGCCTTTCTCTTCCCTAAACGGCTCAAGTGCTTTAGGTCGCTCCACGGAGTTCTGCACTTGGGTATCATAAATACAATACAATCCACAAGAAGGATTTAAATGTGAAGGGCGAGTGAGAGGAATCTGAGGAATGAATGGAAGCGAACCAGGACGGCGGAGGCAGCGCAAGCCCCGCCCCCAGACGCTCCAGGCCCCTCCCTCTCGCTTTCAGGCACAAGTTCTCAGGGACCTACCTTAGTACTGACTCTCACCCTTCAAATCACGCTCCACTGCTGGATTCTCGTGAGATCTGTGACTTGCCCCGGAAGGCCCGCCCCCAGTGCCGTAAAGGCCAATGGGAGAAGACGACAGTTGCGACGGTTGGGTTTTGAAGGAGCCAATGAGTGCTCGGAGCGGAGACTTTAAGTGTAGTCCGGCATTTTTGAAGTCGGTCAGATGCAGTAATCTTCTCCGATCTGACAGTGAAAGGCGGCTGGGCCCAGCCAAAGTGAGGTCGCGGCCGGAGTGATCCTGGCTGTGTGGCCGGCCTTCCCAGAGAACGGTCGCCTGTCTTCCTCCAGGGCTCGGCGGCATCCACTCCAAGGACCCCTCCCTCTCCAGACGCTTTGCTGCCATGGCGCAGTTCGTGTTCGATAGTGACTTGCACTCGCTGTTGCAGCTGGACACACCCATCCCCAATGCACCCCCTGCGCGCTGGCAACGCAAAGCTAAGGAGACCGGGGGGCCGGCCCCCTCGCCCATGCGGGCCGCCAATCGATCCCATAGCGCCGGCAGGACCCCTGGCCGAACTCCGGGTGAGTGGGGTGCGGCGGGACACGCGGAGGGAGAGGGAGCAGCCTACATGCCCCTTCTCTCGGGAGCCTAGTGAGACTCTTTGGCCTCCCTCTTCCTGCCCCAGGCAAATCGAGCTCCAAGGTTCAGACCACTCCCAGCAAACCTGGCGGTGACCGTTATATCCCCCATCGCAGTGCTTCCCAGATGGAGGTTGCCAGCTTCCTTCTGAGCAAGGAGAACCACCCCGAAAATAGTCAGACGCCCACCAAGAAGGTATGTGTCCTAGAGGGGCTTAAGGCAAGGGACCCATCTGTGTTCTTTGCATAATGCTATTCTGCCTCACCACCACCCTATGTATCAGGAACATCAGAAAGCCTGGGCTTTGAACCTGAACGGTTTTGATGTGGAGGAAGCCAAGATCCTTCGGCTCAGTGGAAAACCACAAAAAGTTCCAGAGGGTAAGACCTGAAGTTCATGGTTTTTAGAGGGAGGTGTCAGCCCATCCCCAGGGCTGAGGGGAGATGCCTATCTGCCCTTCACACCTAAAACTGAGGGAAGGAAAGTACTTATCTGGCCTTCCAGGCTAGGGGCAGAGGGAGGTGTCAGTTCTCCGTGTCTAGGCTTACTCCATTGCCATAGGTTACCAGAACAGACTGAAAGTACTGTATAGCCAGAAGGCCACGCCTGGCTCCAGCAGGAAGACCTGCCGTTACATTCCTTCCCTACCGGACCGGATCCTGGATGCCCCGGAAATCCGTAATGACTATTGTAAGTGCAGCCTGTTCCTTGCTGGATGGGTGGAAAAAGAGCGCCTGGGGGCCAGACAAACAAGGAAGCTTATGTTTTGCTCCTATGGCAGACCTGAACCTGGTGGATTGGAGCTCTGGGAATGTTCTGGCTGTGGCGTTGGACAACAGTGTATACTTGTGGAGTGCTAGCTCAGGTGACATCCTGCAGCTTCTGCAGATGGAGCAGCCTGGGGACTATGTATCTTCTGTGTCCTGGATCAAAGAGGGTAACTACCTGGCTGTGGGCACCAGCAATGCAGAGGTGCAGGTGAGACTTATCGCGGTGTTGCAGCTCTTGTTTCCCAGACCCTGGGAGCTCGCCCAGCAAGATGTTAATGCTAAGGCCCAATCTCTGATCATGGTGGTTTTCTCTCTAGCTATGGGATGTGCAACAGCAGAAGCGGCTTCGGAACATGACCAGTCATTCTGCGAGAGTGGGCTCCCTAAGTTGGAACAGCTATATCCTGTCCAGGTCAGTAGTTTTTGCTGGTCTGTTGCAAAAGCAGGCTATGATTTTTGCCCTCTCTCCCCAGACTGTACACCTCTGAAGTGAAGCAGTTCTGGCCTACTGGTGGCGTTTGGCACTGCCACAGAATCTGATTCCCTCCTTCCTTGTGCAGTGGCTCACGCTCTGGCCACATCCACCACCATGATGTTCGGGTAGCAGAACACCATGTGGCCACACTGAGTGGCCACAGCCAGGAAGTGTGTGGGCTGCGCTGGGCCCCAGATGGACGACATTTGGCCAGTGGTGGCAACGATAACTTGGTCAATGTGTGGCCTAGTGCTCCTGGAGAGGGGGGCTGGGTTCCCCTGCAGACATTCACACAGCATCAAGGGGCTGTCAAGGTGAGAATGGGGCTGAGCTGGGGCCTGTGCAAACCCTCACCCAGAATCTGGGGAATATTATGGGGAGATGGGATGCTGGGATTGGACTGGGTTAATGTGGCACCCTTATTGCTCCTTGTCTAGTACCTGCTGACCTCACCTTTATCCCATCCAGGCTGTAGCTTGGTGTCCCTGGCAGTCCAGTATCCTGGCAACTGGAGGGGGCACCAGTGATCGACACATTCGCATCTGGAACGTCTGCTCTGGGGCCTGTCTGAATGCTGTGGATGCCCACTCCCAGGTATCATTTTACCTACTCTAGCCCCTCACTCAACAGATATGTCCTTACTCTTTGTAGTCTTCCTTGGCAACCATGTCCCTTTCAATGGCTTCACCAAGTCTGTATCCTGATGATTTCCAAACATCTGAGTCAGCTGTCACTCAGGAGCTGCAGACCCTTATCTCCAGCACTCTGTGGCTTATCTCCTACCCCGTGTTCCTATATGTGGCACCACCCTACTATGTCCCAAATTAAAACTTGTTAATTCCCTTTCCATCCCTAATGTGTTCCATCTCCTCCTCTTACATTCTTTTAGGACAGAAACTATTCAGAAATTTGAAAAACCTTCTAGAATCTTTTACCCTCTTCACGTAGTCACCAACATACCAGTTTTACCTCAGTATTATTCAAATGTGTTCCCTTCCCTCATTCTCACCCGTCTTCCCGGCAGAGGCCTAGTGCCCTGGTCTCAGTAACCTCAGCTCCTCCCATCTTCCTCTGTCCTCCTTCAACCCTGCAATGGCTCCCCATCACCTACAGTATATAACCCAAATCCATTAGGATGTGAGGCCTTTGCCTGGTGAATTTCCCTGCAACTACTCCAGGTTCTTCTTCCCTTCCCCTCCCCAAACTTTATTCTAGGTTGTAGTTTTCAAGCCAGAGTTCAAATTCTGGCTCTGTCACCCACTAACGTAACTTGCATGAGATCTTAGGCAACTTACTGAACTTTCTTCTGCTTGATTCCTCATCTGTAAAATGAGTAACGATTGTAACTCTCAAAAGGCTTTTGTTAGCAGTGCATAGCACCTGGCTGGGTGCCTAACACTGGAATGGACTTAGTTCTGATTCGAGTAGCCCTCTGTGTCATGCCTACACCATGCGCCCCTCCACAGGTGTGCTCCATCCTCTGGTCTTCCCACTACAAAGAACTCATCTCAGGTCATGGCTTTGCCCAGAACCAGCTGGTTATTTGGAAGTACCCGACCATGGCCAAAGTGGCTGAGCTCAAAGGTAGGCGCTAAATGACGGAAGCCAGACAAAAAAGACTATATATTGTATGACTGTTTATATGAAATGTTCAGAAGAGGCAATGCAAAAAGATAAAATCAATTAATGGCTGCCAGGAGCTGGAGGGAAAGGGTAATGAGGGACTTTCTTTATGGAGTGATGAAAATGTTCTGGAATTATAGTTGTGATGATTACACAATTTGGTGACTATGCTAAAAACCAGTGACTTGTACAGTGTAAAAGAATAAATTTCATGCTATATAAATGATTAATTATGTCCATAAAGCTGTTAAAAAAACAAGGTAGGTTGCCCTCAAAATCAGGAGAGCTGTACTATGTCTACATTCATGTGCTGCTCTCATTTTTTCCCTTCTCATGCCCCAGGTCACACAGCCCGGGTTCTAAGCCTGACCATGAGTCCAGATGGGGCCACAGTGGCATCAGCAGCAGCAGATGAGACACTACGGCTATGGCGCTGCTTTGAGTTGGACCCCGCACGGCGGCGGGAGCGGGAGAAGGCTAGTGCAGCCAAAAGCAGCCTCATCCATCAAGGCATCCGTTGAGGACCAATTCGTCACTTTAGTTTGTTTTTTGTGTGTTTTTTTTTTTTTAATTTTTCTAATAAAGTCATGTTTCCCTCTCTTCACCTTGCATGACTGCTTTCCCAGTGGCTTTCCCAGGGGGCTCCGCTCCTGTGTTTGAGAGCTACAAATGTCCGTCCTGTGGGAGCCTTGACCGTCCTTCCTGTTCCTAGACAGGGGTGGTAGGCTTTGTACCCCACCTCCTCCATTTACACACACACATACACATACAGCCTCAGTGGTTTCCTCTGTCACTTTTAATGAAGACATGAGTAGTGAGCAGTCTCCACAGGCTGTATTCCCCGGCCTCCCACCCACTCTGACCTGTGGGGTGGAAAAGGAGGGAGCCTGGGTCCACAGTGACAGATTATTGCTGACCTCTTCAGTGTGAGGAAAAAGGCCACAAGACCCTGGTGGGGGCCAGCCCTGAGTGCTCCTCTCCCAAGTTTAAGGCAGGGAGGGGGAAGTAAGCGTCCAGCCCTTTCAGCCCCCAGCTCTGGAGTGGCAGAGGGCAATGAGGCCAGGCCATGTCCCTGGGGCTGGCTGGGAGAAGTGGGTGAGGAACAGAAGCTGTGGTCCCTGTGTACCCGCTGTGGGGAGGGGAAGACCTGTCCCCTGCTCAGTCCTGACCACATAAGCCTTGGTCACAGGTGTAGGTGGGAAGGACAATGACGGATGCTGCCCAAGGTGCAGTCCTGAGGCACTTAGGTGGGCACCTAGCTAGAGCATGTTTCTCAGTTGGCCTTGACTTTGGCAGTACCTGGAGCTCCATTTTGCTGAACTACACGGGGTAGCCGCTTGCCTTTGGTGTAAGAATGATACCAGAAATTGGAGAAGAGCACAAAGAAGATGGTGCCGTACATCCAGATGAGGTGGATAATGACTGGGTACTGGTAGTTACAGCTGGCCATGAAGTAGTACTGGGAGATGTGCAGCGAGACCAGGACAAACTGGATCTAGGATAGAGAAAGGCAAGGGTCAGAGGGAATAGTGAGAGGACTGGAGGGAAAAGGCGTAGAGAAAGAGACCAAACACTGAGTGGTAGGATAGGGTCAAAGGTGAAAGGATGGATAAAGGAGAGCCAGACTAGTAATGATCGGTGGATGGTTATAGGCCGGGTGCTGGCCCCTTACCAGCTGGATGGCTGTCATGTGCTTTTTCCACCAAAGGTAGGGCTGAGCCACAGGGCCAAGGGCAGACAAGCCATAGTACAGGTACATGATGACATGCACAGAAGAGTTTACCATGGCATGGAAAGAGCCCATTCCTCCTGTGAGAGGACAATGAACAGCGTCAGGAGAGTTAAACCTCTGATCCCTAGTGCCCACCTCTCTTCCCCTAGTGGCCTTCACCACTCACCTGGGGCAATTTTTACTCCCCACCACCAGCTCCAGGGAAGCACTGAGTGGTGGAAGACATGCAGGAAGGTCACCTGCCCATCTTTTTTCCGGAGAATAAAGATCACCTGAGAGAAGAGTAGGGAAAGGCTTTTCAGAGTCAGGGTCTCTCCTTCCCCCACCCCAACCCCAAGTTCTCACATTTCATATATTCTCACCGTGTCCATCAGCTCAATGAACTTGGAGAAGAGGAAGAGCCAGGCCACTCGAACCATCTGTAAGAAGTCAGGACAGCCTTAGGACCCCCCACTACTCCTAGAGCCTTTCTGAACCAGCCCGTGAGCACAGGTCATACGCAAATTGCTCCTATCCCCAAGTTGCTTGTGACTTAGCCCCTGCTCCTACTTACCCTCAGTGCCTCCGGGTTGTTGGAATAGTCCACAGGGTCACAGCGCCAGGTGTAGCTTTGCAGCCAGCCAGACATCAGGAACTAGGATGGGGTGTGGGTTAGACCACCAGAATTCCCTCCCCAATCCCTCCCGTTTTCTAGCTGAAGAAATGGAGCTGAGCCTCTTTGGACAGGAGATGCTGTGCTCTGGCTCTAACGCCTGCCCCTTATCCTGCCAGCAGGAATTCAAGCCTAGGCATCCCAGAGGCCCACCTCATACACAATGTAGAGGGAGAGTGCCACCAGTGAGAAGTTGTAGACAACCATGAAGCCACGCAGCTGGAAGGGCTTCCGGTTGGCCATGAGTCGAGGCCCAAGTGAGAGAACGAAGTACACATAAGTCAGGAGAATGGAGGTCATTAGCAAGGGGGACCCCATCAAAGGGTAGCTCTGAATCCGGGGATCTGTGAATAAGAATCAAAGGAGTCAGGAAGTGCCACAGGGTTCAAAGGGTCCCCGCCAGGTGTATAGATATGAGGTCAGATGACAAAGGGTCAAAGGGGTCATGGGGACTTTCCATTAGGACAAAGCTCTAGATCCAGAGACCACAGGGCAGGAGGGAGGGAGGGAGGGCAGGTGGACAGCATCTTACCTCCATGCTTCATCATCTCCTGGTACAAGTTCACAACAGCCTCCATCCTGGCTAACGACTCTGGGGAGGTATTGAAGGAGGGTGTCAGCCAGGGCTGACCGTGTGCCCCATTCCATCCCTGACCCACAGAGAGGGCACAGACCAGACCAGACAACTCCCGATGCCTCATCGCAAAAAGGATGTCACAGGGAGAGAATTGCTGGGGGTAAGAGGAGGCAGCTTGTCAGGGGCATCTGCTTCCCACACATCCTGCCTGCCTGGGAAGGGCTGTTCCGTCCTTCCTCTCCACACCTTCCCCTCCTCTCTTCACTCTCTGCTTTTTGGAGATTTTTACTCTATGATCTCCCCTCCCCTCTTCCTTCACAAGAAAACTCTCAATTTTGATCTCTTTCTAGAAAGTATTACATCTCACCAACAGGGAATTCGTCTCCCGGATGAACTGCCTCTCCCTTCCTCACCAAAGTCTCTCCCCGTTCCAGCTCTGGGTTTCTCTTCTCTCCAGGGATCCTCCCCTTCCACCTCATGGCCCATTTCGTGGTGCTCATCTTCTGGGACTGTCCCTCAGGACTCTCATCTCCCCAGGGTCCCTCCTCACCCCTGGAGGACTCTCACTTCCCAGCCCCTCCTGCCCATCCTGTGCCTTCTGTCTGTTCTGGGACGCTCACCTCCCAGTCCCTCCTGCCCCTTCCTCCTCTCCCCGCGCTGTGACACTGCTCCCTGGGGCTCTGCTCAGCCCTCCTGGGCTCTCACCTCCAGCCTCTCGGCTCCTCTCCGGTGCTCTCCTCCTGCCCTTCCTCTCTGGGAGCCTGGCTCTTTGAGACTCCTGCCCTGGCAGCTCCACCTGTCCGACTAGATCTGGCAGCAGCCCCGCCCTCCGCCCACCCCTGCTGCACAGCACATGGGGTGGAGGGTGGGTCTAGGCCACAGGTCAGTGCCTGGAGGAGCAGGACCCACGAGGATTGAGAAAGCCAAGTAAAGCTGGGACTCACCACCCGCCCACCCACCCTAGACCAGCCAGAGAGGCTAAGGTTCCAGGTTTTGAACCACAAACCCACTGGGGCTCCAGTCCCAGCCCAAACCTTGGCCCAAAGAGAACTGCCGAAAACCCACACCCAGTATCTTCTAAACTAGGCACACATTGTCAGTTTGTCCCACTTCAGAATGGGTACAATAACCCTTCTCTCCCAGGGAGGGGCAGGAAGCCAGTGGCATGTGAGGAGGTGGGGGAGTGGGGGAGGTCTCAGGAATCTTCCCCTCCCTCAGGGAGGGGTCTAATGAGCTAGGTCCTCTCCCCCTCAGAGCCAGAAGGAATGTCGGGGGAGGGCTCACTGGGACACCAAAGCCAGACCCAGGGGAGCCTGGAGCTCTGAGGCAGTCCCAGAGGGGCAACGCAGTCCCCGAACAGCCCGGGCAGCTGATGCTCTGAGAGCCAGCACTCCCGTCGGCCAGGTTCCTCCTAGCCAGAGAACAATCTCCGCAGGTACTGAGTGAAGAACGCAGCTTCTGACACATCCACCGAGGCTGGATACACGCCCCTCACACACACTCACTGGGCACACATCTCACAAATGCTCCCTCCGCCTCCACGTCAACCCCCAACTGCCTCACCACGATCAGGCCCAAGTCCTCCCATACACACACCCTCTCGCACAGCTCTCCCCCACCCACCCAATGATGGACTCACCAATGGTTAGCACACGTAGGCACAGAGAGCTCACACACCTCCTGCTGGCAACAACTGCCCTCCTTTGACACACCACCCAAAGCAGCCTCCGTGGACTCTGACAGGCACAGTTCCTAACACTCAGTCCTATTCACACCTGCTCCCAACTACATTCACGCTAGTGAACACACCCAACACACTCACGCATCCTCGCTCATAGGTCCCGCAGCACCACATGCAAATGCTTATGTTGCGCATATGAGTCACAGATAAATGTGGCCACATACATAAACTCATACAGCCCCCTTAGCAGGGAATGAATAGAAAATCACTCACACCACATGCAGACACACACTTGCCCTAGTTGGAGCACACAAACATCTTTCCACAGATGACAATCACCATTCATTCATTCATTCATTCATTCACAATCGTATTTTTGTTGGCTGCCTAGTCTGTGGTAGGGCCTACCCAAAAAGGCGTAGCATGTGCTCTAACACACAGTTCCTTCCTGACCCATGTGAGTTTGCCAGCTTGTTATCTCTCTCAACCACCACACAGGCACACACTCATGCACTCTTGGAGGTCAGGAGTGGCTCAAGGCTTCTGGAAAGGACCTCTCTCCCAGCTTGAGAAGACTCTGGGTGTGTCCCCGGTAGGGGGAACTCAGTCCAGTCCTTCTTCCTTTAAGATGGATGGAAGGGAAAAGGAGACAGGCAGAGGAAGGGGGAGGGGAAGGGAGGAGGGAAGAGAAGGGAGGGGAGAAGGAGGGGACAAGGGTAAAACCAGGAGGAGATAGAGGAAGGCCTAGGTTTGAGTAAATGGGGTCCACGGACAGGGGGCAGGTTGCGGGAAAGGCTGAGCCCCGCAGAGCTGGGACCTCCCACCCACTCTCCCCAGGAGCAGCCTCGCCCACAGCCTGGGCAGGGCAGGGCAGGGCAGGGTTGGGCCGGGCCAGCCCGGCGGGGGGCCTGGGCACGTGGGGCCTCTGCCCAGGGAAGGTCCAGACTCACCAGTGGGGGGCCAGGCAGGCAGCAGTAGAGGGCTCGAAGGGAGCAGGGCCAGAGAACAGTCCCCAGGGCCAGCCTGCCTGCCACTTCCTCATCTGCTGGGCCGACTTTCTGTCACCAGAGGGGGAGAGGGCGGGCCGGGTGGGGGGCGCCTGCTGATTGGGCCTCAGGCTGAGGCAGGAGGGGCCGTCCAGCCTCGACTAGGCTGGGCCGGCAGGGCGGGAGCAGGGGAGGAACGCCCGATCCCGGGGCAGGAAGCACGCCCAGCCCTCACTCCCCACCCCTTCCCTCGGCATCACTCCGCCTGCTGCTGTCAGGTCGCTGAGGCCTGGCCTGGGCTGCCAGAGTTGTACCCTGCTTCCTCCTGACGTTCAGCCCCTAAAAGGCCTCATTCTGGGCCCTCTGGTGATTAAACCTCCAACACCACCAACACACCTTTCTGTGTGTGGCAGGCCCACCCAGCTTAGGACCCTGGGAAAAGTTCCAGGGCTCAGTCCTTCCCTCAAAGAGCCCCCCTCTAGAAAGGGTGAGACCTGAGAGGCGGGCCAGAATAGAAGGGTGGTTTCTGTTCAAGAGGGCGACTGGGCACGAAAGCTTCCCCTGTGAGCCTATGTATTCGGATGGGCCCTCCATTAGGAGGAGCTGAGAGGATATCCTGGCACAAAGGTGGGAAAATACAATGCCTGGGGCACAGCTGCTCTGCCCGGTACATGCCCCGTACATGCCCCGTGGGAGGTGGTGTGGTCTGAAGTGCTGAGTTATTAGACGTCCAGATGAACTCTTGTTACATTCTCTGTGCATGTGTGCTTTGTTTTTAACTGTTTACTGTTCTGTGATGTTTATTTTAAGAAAGTACTAAACTGTAATAAATTAGTTTGCTTTTTATTAAACACACACACACACACACACACACACACACACACACACGGCCTGGGGCAGGAACAGCAAGTAAATCACTGGCTATACTGGCCATCCAGGTAGCAAAAGGTAAAAACGGGGAGTGAAGCTGTGGCTGAATGTAGATCTTGAAGGTCAAATGGGGCAGTTTGATTTTATTGTGGAAGCAGGAGAGAAACCATGAAGATTTTTGAGGAGGCTATAATCAGTCTTGTATTATCAAATATTCATCCAATATTTATTGACCACCTACCATGTGCAAGACCGTATTAAGGGCTGGTGACACATCAAAGAATGAGGCAGAGCTGTCTGTGCATGGGGTTTACCATCGAGCTAAATCCCCTCGCTCTGGCGGCCAGTATGAAGACGGCATTGGAGAGAGGCCAGTGGGAGATACAGCCTGACCTGAGAAGGTTTGGGAATGAAGAGGCAGACACTGTGGAGATTTCCCTGAGTCAGATGGAAATACACACACACACACACACACACACACACTCTCTTAGTTGTCTATCCAGCTTTCCCTTTTCCATATACTCAGCAACTGGATTGAATTTTGGGGGGGTGAGGATTAGGTTTTAGTGAAATGAAATCTTTGTCTCCTCTTGCTTCCGTACACTTCTATGTAAATTCATGAGCATTCGTTTAACAAGTACTTAACAAGTGTGTACAAAGCACTATTCTGAGAATGCTATTGAAAGATTTTGGATTTAGTGTCCACCTAGAGATGGACTAGAGAAGAACAAAGCAGACCATTATAGATGATGAAACTGTCCCAGAGGCCAATTATAGTGATAGGGAACTTCAGCTATCTATGTACTCACCTAGACCTCACTGGCAAAAGACCATGGCAAACTCTCAATAAGTATTGATTGGTGCCATGAATGAACATGCCCAAAGACTCACTTGGCTCAGTTCTCGTCCTGGTCCTCTGAGAAAGCGTCCCCAATTATTTGATATAGACCACTTAGCCCCAAGTCCCACTAAATGGCATCCCCATGGCTGTGGGCTTCCTGTAAAACACTCACAGTCTAGTGAGAAAGACAAACATTTAATGAACAATTACAGTAGCATGTGTTGAGTATTCCTACAGAGATAAATCCAGAGGGTTATGAAAGCAGGGGGGTAAGAGACACCGTACCCCAAGGTGGAGGTTAGTTCTTAAATTCACAGAAATGACATGTAAGCTGAGCATTAAAGGACATTTTATAGAAGACAGGGGGAGGCATTCCAGGGAGAGGGAGGCATGTGTGCGAAGGCATAGCAGCTAGAGATGTGGTAGGTTTGGGGAACTTTGGGTAGTTTGGTGTGGCTCCAGCTTGGGGGACAGAGGGTAGGGCACATGGGTAAGGGCAGGAAACCTGGGCATGAGTCAGTTTATGAAAAGCCTCTGTCTGTCACAGTTTGAACCTTATTGTTTATCTTTTTCAGCCCTGGCTGAACACCAGAATCACCTAGGGAGCTTTTAATATATCAATGCCTGGCTCTCACCTCTAGATTGATTCTAACAGTTGTTTTAATGGGAAGAGACTTAAGCATGTTTGTGTGCTGTGTGGAAGGAAACAGTCGGCTCCAGCACATACCTCACAGACTGGAGTATGTGGAAAAGAACGAGTACATTTGTCAATGCACTGGGAGGAAATGGAATCATTTGGGACCTGTAGGGAAGCCAGGCGGAAGGCCTTGGGAATCGGAGGTTGAGTGAAGGCTCCCCATACCAGGGACAGGCTGATAACTGGAGAAACTGGAGGGGTCCAGGAACTCACAATCTTTTAAATTGATTTGAGAGAGAGAGCGGGAGGGGGGGGCGGGGGAGGAGGCAAAAGAGAAACATCAATCTGTTGTTCCACTTATTTATGAATTCATTGTATGTGCCCTGACCAGAGATTGAACTTGCAACCTTGGTGTATCTAGACAATGCTCTAGATGCTATAACCAACTGAGCTACCTGGCCAGGGCCAGGAACTCACGGTCTTGAAAAGAAGGAAAGTCTGGTGTTTCCAAGAAAGAATACCTGATTCAATAGTGAAAATTCCCTCTCCTCCCTAACAGGAAATGAGGTGACAACTTGCCCTATGTCCCACCCTGTCTGACTCACTCCGCTCTCTCCCTGCTTTCTAAGGAGCCCTTCTCCATCCTCTTTCCACAGAAGGCATGGATTTATGTTCTCCAAGAATTTCATCTGAAAACCATCGTTTGTATAAACTCTAGCAACTCTATTCCCATAATTATTTTAGGCTTTATATGTTTCAGCAGAAAAATTAAAGAAATGTGGGATCAAAGAAACAGGAATGGTAATGGGTTAAAAAAAGGAAAATGTCATGCCTGTATGCGCATGAGTGGGTGAGTGAGTGAATGAGCAGGTGGAGCAGTGGGAGGAATAGGGTATGGGAGACAGGGGAGGTCATCTAAGAACAACAGGAACTGAGGGGTCTAGGCTGAGGGACAACAGGAGTGGCAGGTAGAGATGGAAGCAGCTTCCTGGGGGCTGCGTCAAGCTTCCCCACCCCATCCTGTAAAAGACAAAGGGCACTTTCTACACAGTACTCACCCTGAGGGGCTTAGGGGAGGGCTAAGTCTATGAGGACAGGGAGCACAGATGAGTATGAAGGGTTTGTCAGTTAGTCATTCTGCATGTCCTTACGCCTTCGCCAGCTAGAAAGAAACTTCTGCTTAAGGCTAGGACCTTGGCTGAAGAAACTAGTGCTGGAAAGACATCTGAATATTTACCTGACAGGGCAGATACCATGATCATGAAAGACATCTAGCTGGCAGAAGGGAGAGACTGTTTGCAAACAATCAGCATATCAGCTGGAAATTTGAGGGTTTGCCTTGACTCATGAGAGGTCAGGGACAAGAGTAGGTAGCCAATGTCAACAGACTATGGGTATCACAGAGTGTTCGCTGAATTGGAGTAAAGAAACTCAGGGAGGAGGGAAGAGGGCTTTGATAAAACCTTCACGGAGAACTCTGGAGAGAGAAATGGGGAAGCTTTTGGGTAGGGACCAAACCAGAGGAGGCCATCAAGATGGAAGAAAGAGAGTTGGCACGACCTGGAATATGTGTGAGAAGGGCCAAAAGGGGAAAAGGGAAAATGTAGTTTACTATGCAGCACTTTCCCTGGCCAGCATGGGGCCAGTTGCTTTCCACATGCTTTTATGGTTCAGTCCCGTAAGGTATTATTATCACTGCTTACCAGATGAAAAGAACAGAATCAGAAAGGGTGAAGGATCTTCTCAAGGTCACATAGCAAGTAAGGTGGAAGCAACATAGGTGTTGTAGGCTGCAGGAAAAGTGTGGGTGAAGAGATGGAGGAAAGCACAGGACAGGCGTAGGGAACTGCAAGTGATTCTGTTTGGCTAAAGGATAAGGTGAATGAAAGGCCTACATATGATAGAAGGTTGAAAAATAGGTTGGCCCCATATCATGAAGTGCTTTGAATGAAAGAAGAGGAGTTTTATTTGTATTGGGGGGGGGGGTCCCTGAAGATTTTTAAGAAAGGGGATTGGTATGATCCTCACTGTTCTTTATGAAGACAAACCTGATGAGAGAAAGCTATGTTATCAAGAGGAAAAAGAGGGAAAAGGCCAACTGAGAGACCAGCTCAGAGGTACAGATGTGACACAATGAAGGCCTGATCTAGAACAATCAGAGTGAGAAGGAAGAAGAGGGTCGAGAACAAAGAGAGGACCTGGAGTTGACAGCAACGTTAAGCTGACAACCAGGTGAAGTAGGATGGAGGAAATGAATGTAGTTTGGGATGTCCTAAGTTCAAGGTAAGAGAGCACATTCAGCAGGCAACCTGAAACACAGTGCTGTAAATTCAGGAGAAGGGATGGAGCTTGAGGGAAAAAAACCCAAAGACTGTCTGTAGAGATGAAATGTTACAAAGTGGACCATGGTAGCTTGAATTTGGATTGTATTCAGACACTTTCCCATCCCCCTGCTTTCATTTCCTTTAAGGAATTCCCACCCAACTCAACTGCATTGGCTCATTAATCATGGTGTTCTCCCCCTCCCTGCAACCCAAGCTCCTAATGGCACAGAATCCAAGCAAGAACGGAGTTCTTCCACCAGGTGAGCTATACTGCTGTAGAGTGGAGGAACGCAGAAACAGACAACCTAGGCAACATTGGAGCCCCAAGCCGCCTAGAACCAGTCACCCTTCCACTCCACATCTGCATAACCCAAATGCAATTGGGTCC